TCTTTGTGTTTCCCTTCCCCTCCCTTGGGTTTGTGCGCCGCCCTGAGTCCCGCCGGGAATAGGGCGGCATATAAATAAAATGAACCTCGAACCTCAACTTTAATTTGCTTTCCAGGTTAATATTAATATTACATTTAATACTAAAATATTCTCATGTTCGTCTGCACCCATGTGAGCTTTACATTTTATGAAGCCAAAAACCGTAGAAATCTCATCACAATGCTACATTGTAATTAAATGGCATGTTAGTTTCTAGAATGCCAGCTAAGCATTTGGCCTCTTTATTATGAGATCCATCAAAATGCAATTAAGGAGATCTTGCAAATTCATTTTCAGGGTTCACACCTTTCACAAGTTCAGCCCACATTTTCAAGATGGTCAAAATATGCTAATATTTAGATATTGCATTATATTATATTGCATTATATGTTATGATGATTGCTAAGTCCCACAGGTGGGTATCCCAATTTTCTTCTGCCCAAAACCTCTGGATCTTCATAACCTGGTTCCATATCCTGCTCTGGTATAGTAGCTTGGACATTTCGGGGATTGTTGCCTATCTTCCAAGTAGCATCTAGAAAGGAGTTATCTTTCCAGTAACACTGCAAGAAAGATGGGATTCTCACATCATTCAGTACTGTCTTTCTGGCAATTAATAGTCGAAATGAAAATGTTGAATTTCTATAATCTCACTTCCTAGCTTTGCTGCAAAATAAATACAATAAATAAATAAAATAAATACCAGATGATTAAGCTCTTTCCAATTTGAAAGATGATTCAGTCTCACAGGACATGAATACATCAAAAGGAAACAAAGATAATATATAACCACACGTTTTAATGTTAAGTATTAAAATGCAAATATTCAGTATTGAAGTAGATAATTACAGGGCTGCCCAATTAAGCAATATAGCTGCTTGCAAAATAGCTGATAAAAGAAAATTTCACCCAAAAAAATGCAGGATATAGACAAACAAGATGATAGTCGTCTATTTCATTTGTAGCAGAGAGAGTTCCAAATTATTTATTTATTTATTTATTTATTTTTATTTAGCTTGTCACTCATGTACAAGATAACAGGAATAAGAATAAACAGGAATAAGAACATGGGAAATGGGTACAAATAAATGGGGACAATAGGGCAGGGATCTTCTGCACGCCCCTACTGACCTCTTAGGAGTGGGGTAAGGTCAACAGTAGA